GATATCAACGACAACTGATGGAGATCTGAGAGAAAAGTACGTAAACAAAATCATCTCGATTCGATTTCTAGCAGTATTTTCGTTAGGCAAAATCGAAGTGTAACAGTTGATGCTTATCTGTAGGAGTCGGCAGAAGATGGCTCACCCCCTCCACTACACTTTTATCCAAACCTCGTGACTCGGCTAGCCAATCATAGGCCAGCATTTGGTCGGAGGCCACGCCCACTGAAAACCAGCCCGAAATTCATATTATCCATACGTCGTCACGTCGCCATCGTGAATAAATAAATTTAAAAAGAGCTGTCACCGCTGGGGAATTGAAACAGGGACCTTTGCATTATGAGGCAGCGTATATACGCACTGTGGTATTCCGACCACCGAATTATTTCAATTATTTTGATGCTTTTTAAACGGGATATCCATCGCTGGCGCGCTTATCTTTGCAACGGATCTGTAGAGGTAGAGCAAAGCGAGAGATGCGTTCCAGAAATAAGAAACTTCGAGTCGAAAATAATATCCATCGCTGGCGCGCGCTTATCTTTGCAACGAATCTATCGAGGCAAGCAAAGCGAGAGATGCGGTCCAGAGATAAGAAACTCTGAGTCGAAAATAATATCCATCACTGGCGCGCGCTAATCTCTGCAACGGATCTGTAGAGGTGGAGTAAAGCGAGAGATGCGTTCCAGAGATGAGAAACTTCGAGTCGAAAATAATATTCAGCGCTGGCGCGAGCTAATCGAAACCGCAACAATAACACATCAATGACAATAACAGGATTGCATTTCCATAAACAGGGCGTTCGAGTTGAATGAAAATTGAAAAAATAATATATACAGAGTGTCCCACGGTTCGCGGTCCCATGTTTCAGCATGGAAGAAGTGTTTGTGTTGAACATGAATTAGACAGCTGACGTATGATAATCGACATATGACATTTGACAGATGACCATCGACAGATAACAACGATCGATGACACGAGACCAGGTTACGTCAGCTACCAGCTTGCTGCTGCATCCGTTCAATAATCAGTGCGTTTGAATAAAAATATATACAGGAAAACTCGCTGCAAGAACTGATCAATTCAGATGAACCCAGCAAACATATTGAACAGGCAAGGTATGACAGATGACGCGCTGACTGATGATTTGGATTGATATACAGGGCGACAATGAGAGGATATACAAAGGACTGCAAGGACTACCTACTTCAGACATGCCTAGCATATATTATACAAATATATAGAGCAGCTCCTAACCAAAACACATGAAACTGCTCTGTGCTACACTGAAGGAAGTATTCTGGTTAGTCCGTCAAAAAAATCATGAACAATACTCGTTATGTACGGTTTAGGGGGAATTGTCACGGAAACACCACCGAAATGCCACAGAAATGTCACAGAAGTGACATGGAAGTGTCATGGAAGTGTCACGGAAATGTCACAGAAGTGTGAAGGAAGTGTCACAGAAGTGTCACGAAAGTGTCACGGAAGTGTCACGGAACACGGAAGTGCCGCGGAAATGTCACGAAAGTGTTATGGAAGTGTCACGGAAGTGTCACGGAAGTGTCACGGAAGTGTCACGGAAGTGTCACGGAAGTGTCACGGAAACGTCACAAAAACGTCACAGAATACACGCGTTAGCTTATGATTCCGATCAATATACAGAGCGTTCGAGTTGAATAGCAATGAAAAAATATGAAGGAGTACTCGCTGCGAGAACTGTCTACTGTAGCCGTGCCTAGCAAACAGATATTAGAAAAATATTTCGAACAAGTCTCAACCAAAACTCGTGAAAAAAAATCTGTTCTCCCCCAAAGAAAAACCCAGTGGAATATGTCAAAATTCCACTACCAAAACTCGTAATGTAATGGGGTTCTAGAGGCTAGGGGCCCGAGGGATTAGCGATTATACTAGAAAATGAACATGGCAGCATTCAGACAGAAAAAAAATATTGCTGTCAACTACTCTACAAGAACGATTCTTATTATATCTATAATAAGTCATGGAAACCATCCATCCTTCTCAAAGTGGTCCAGATTTTTCAAAAAAAAACACAAACGCTAAGTCGGTCGACCACAAAGTTTAATTACAAAAAGATTTTTGTGACTAGTTTCGGCTCAAGCAGCCATCTTCAGACACAGTATATAGTACCTGTAAAGATGTTGATTCACAAGAAAAAATGTCATATTGAGGAAAAACATACCTATAAAGTACACGTGGAATCACATAATTGATTAATTGAAAATTGAAATTGCAAGGGTCATTGGCCAAAATTCAGTCGGGTGAAAATATTTGTATTATTTTGAACCGACTGAACAGCCAAAAGAACCTAATAAGAATTAGATTCAACATTGGCAGAAAAATATCAGTTAAATTCACTCACATGAGTTTCATCTTAAAATGGCCGTTTTTTGAAAAAACAAAAGCCAAGGAGATGGCAACGAAATGTCAAGCAAAGCAGAAGACGTTGACAGAATTACATGACAAATGACATTGACATTTGATAAAAATTCGAATGACATGCACAATATAAGATACAATATTACTGCAACATTATCATAACTCAAAAATTGTATCTTATATTGTGCATGTCATTTGGATTTTTATCAAATGTCAATGTCATTTGTCATGTAATTCTGTCAACGTTTTTTGCTTTGCTTGACATTTCGTTGCCATCTCCTTGGCTTTTGTTCTTTCAAAAAACGGCCATTTTAAGATGAAGCTCATGTGAGTGAATTCAACTGATATTTTTCCAATTTTTCTGCCAATGTTGAATCTAATCCTTATCAGGTTCTTTTGGCTGTTCAGTCGGTTCAAATTAATACAAATATTTTCACCTGACTGAATTTTGGCCAATGACCCTTGCAATTTAAATTTTCAATTAATCAATTATGTGATTCCACGTGTACTTTATAGGTATGTTTTTCCTCAATATGACATTTTTTTTTGTAAATCAATATCTTTACAGGTAATATATACTGTGTCTGAAGATGGCTGCTTGAGCCGAAACTAGTCACAAAAATCTTTTTGTAATTAAACTTTGTGTTCGACCGACTTAGCGTTTGTGTTTTTCTTTGATATCTATAATAGGTTTGAAAATTCTCTATATATCAGCAAAATCAATGGAAAATTAGCGTGACGCAATCACTATCATCATACTGACTGACAGACAGCATGGAAAAATAATGTTATTGATATCTGAACAGCTTAAAATATACAAGAGTAATAATGCTAAACATTCTGCATCAAATGAGGAAGAAATAATACCCATTCACCATCCACCTCAGAATATATCGATAAACTCTTCACCAGAACTCATTTAACAACTTCACTAAAGAAAGAACCCACGGAATATATCAAACAACTCTTAACCAGAACTTGAAATGTAAGGGGGCAGTAGAGGCTTGGGACGTTAGGGTTTAGCGATTATACAGAGAATATGAACATGGCAGCCTTCACGCAGAAAATCATATAGCTGTCAACTACTCTACAAGAATGATTCTTCATCCATATGCAAAGTCCAAAATTTCTCTAGATATCATCATATTCAGAGGTAGCAATGAAAATGATATCAAAGGTACCTGGAAAGCTTCAAATATACTAGACTAATAATGCTGAACATTCTGCATCAAACAACTAGAAAAAAACACCCTCTCACCGTCCACCATGAAATATATCGAACAACTATTTACACCTAAAACTCATATTACAGCTCAGTGTTTGACCATAGGAGGTATTCTGGTTGGTTCATGCAATATGTCGAACAACTCTCTACCTGAACTGGTAATCTAAGAGTCAGAGGAACTAGGGGATAACGTTTAGTGCGATGGGATGTAATCCGCAGGAAGCGAAATAGGTATCATCTTTCGGGTGATCTGTTATGGAAGCATACTCGATCAGACCTAAAATAATTCTGTCATATAGAAATCTTATGTATCGTAGGCCAATCCTTATCAAAATCCTCATGAGGAGTTCAATTTTACCGACATGTTGAGACGAAATTGATAGTTATGGAAATTTCGATAAATCTTATATATCGATGATCATCACTATACCAATATTTCGACATTTCGATATATCGATGAATCAATACTCATCGATATATCAATAATCATCGTATTTATCGACGTATCGATATGCCAATCATTATCGATATATCGATATATCGAATCTATAGATATGTTTTGACTTATCGATGATCGATTGTGAAAAAATCCAATATCGCCCAGCCATAGTCAGGAAAGTCGGATTACGTTCATCAAATATTTTTAGAGTTATGAAAATTGATGTTGATGTTGTTATCGATAGGTTTTTGGAGCAATGTTGGAAACTCAACTACACTCTATAATTTATATCCATAATGATCTGGTTGTGAAATTGGAAGATTACTGAATACTGTCTGTAGGTTAATCGAGGAGGTGGTAGATTCATTTAACTTGACTTTCTGGGAGTTTCCCTTCTCGTTGCTATAAAATAAAAATATGAGTATTATTGCAATCTATCCGTGGTGGAACGAATCAGATGAATTGCACCAAAACGTCACTGCGTTCAACGAATTTTTTTATCAGAGAGGATGAAAGAAGAATCCAGTAGCTTGTCAGTGACACTTTGTTGAAAATAATGTTCGAAAGGAAGGAATATAGATATATTGGGAAGATATCGAATGTTTACTTTTCTCTTTGGACGTTCCAAAAACGAATCAGCTCCCGTTCTCAACATAAAAAAAAATCAAGGAATCCGCTTGCATTCTTCTGAACAGAGACAAAAATAGCATTGCTTTCTGTTCAGTTGATACAGATAGAACATGGTAGAGCACAATTTCCAAAGGAGAAAATTTTGCATTTTTATGTTGAGAACAGGAGCAGATTCGTTCACGAAACTCAAACAAAGTGTCACTGACAAGCTACTGGATTCTTCTTCCATGCTCCCTGATAGAAGAATGTGTTAAACTTGTTTGTTTGTTGAACTCTCATTTCGTCAATTGAAGATTATTTTGTTTTCAGGAAGGAATTGAAGATACTAATGAAGAACTATCTATTGAAAATCGTTCTGATCATCTCAAGCCTTTTCGTTGCTAACATTGGTTTTTATGCTCTTATCATGATGTACATCTGGATGAACACAAACATCAGCGCAGAAGATATCTTTTACATAATGAGAGTATATTCAATGTTGAAGTATGCTGTAGCATTAAACGTGTCAGTTGGATCTACCAAGATGGCAGAACTGGTGGCATCATTCAACCGAATCGATGCGATCATCAAGCAGGAAGAACTTCCAGTTGAATTGGAAATACATGAAGAGAAGCCAGAAATCGATCTGACAAACGTATCTCTCCGATTAGGAGGAAAGCAAATCTTAAGGAGGGTCAATATAAAAGCGGTAACGGGACTGACAGTTATAACTGGTCAGCTAGGATCGGGAAAGAGTTCTCTGATAAAAATAATACTGAAAGACTACCTGATCGATGAAGGCAAATTGAATATCAAAGGCACTAGAAGCTATGCCTCACAAGACCCTTGGTTATTTCCATCATCAATCAAACAGAATATATTGTTTGGGCAGAAATATGACTATAGAAGATATCAAACGGTAAGATATATCAAAAATTCCAATCATTATTTTATCTCTGATCGAACTGAAAGACTATTCCATGCTTTGTTGTGGAATATTCTCCGAAATATTATCTTTCATACTGTTTGTAGGTTGATCGAGGAGGAGGTACATTCATCATTCCAGATTTGATTGAATTGTCTTTATTCGTCTTTATGAAATGAAAATATGAATATTATCTCAATATACGTGTAGTAGAAACAAAGAAGCAGATGATTTGCCCCAAAATGTCACTGCGTTCAAAGTATTGTCTCATCAGAGAGCCTAAAAGGAAAATTCACTAGCTTGTCAGTGACAATTTGAATTGAAGAAGGTTTGAAGAAGAGGAATGAAGAAATGAAGAGAATTTATCAGATTTCCACTCATCTTTGGTATTCATTACTGATATCAGAGATATTCGAGATGATTTATTGAAAACATCCTAAAACTCATTTGATTGTCAATGTCACCAATTGTCACTGAGAACTGAGAAGTGTCTAGACGAATACGAATTTACCATACAAAAATCCATTCTTCAGGTTGGAAACGGAAGCAGATTCATTTCCGAAACGTTCAAAGATGGATAGAAATTTGATATTTATTTTATATACATTTATTCTGCTTCTCCAAAGCTTATTCAATATGAATTGTCAATGACAAGCTAGTGAATTCTTTTTTTATGCACTCTGATGGAAAAATTCTTCGAAGGTTGTGAAATTTTGGAGCAAATCATCTGATTTGTCCTAACTACAAGTAAATCTGAATGATATTCATATTCTCATTTCATCAGGACGAGGAAAAAAGAACCCAAAAAGTCTAGAATAATGAATAATCTTTCATTCTCCACTAGTATGCTATATTCTCGACTGCGTCTTCTTGATTTGATTGAGTATCGAGTTGAATTTTCTCGATACAATGTTCCATTATAGGTATGGATTATTATGTAGAATTGAAAATTGATATCGAATCGATTCGAATAAACTTCATTCAGAATGATAACACCTCATATGCCATAAATTTCTGGACTAAACTGCAAGAAAATAGGTTGTGAATCAATATTCAACCACCAGTATAAGAAACCAACCACAGAGAAGTTCTTGAAAAAACCTGATGACTTGATCATTATACAGAAAAATTTTGCGTTTCACCCTCAACTCCGCTGACACCTTCTGGCCTTAGTAGATTAATGAACTTAGGTTCATATCAAGTTCTCGTTTGGATATGGTCGCTTCTAAACAGAATGGTATTTTATTGCCATATATATCATGTTCTCCAGAGAAGATACAAGTGTTCTGAGGTGGTGTGAGTTTTCAAGATTTCATTCAACAAACATGAACTTACATGAGCTTATCGATTAACCATATGGGATCGGTAGCCGTATGGGGTCGGCTAGCCGTATGGAGGCGGCTCAGGATAACCTTCCATGGTAAATTCTGCTCGTCGTGGAAGGCGACTGAAAGGATAACTCTAGGTGGTGAATGGTCTCATCGTCGATGGACTACCACTATATCGGTCGATACTTTTCGGTCTCCCACTGCCCTTTTTCTCAATTTCTCCTTGCTATGAATGGAGATGATGAAGTCTCCTAGAGTTTTACACTCCGAAAAAATACCTCTTCATTCGGATTTCCGAGCGAGAGGAACTCGAGGGGACTGATCTCTGAAGATCAATTCTTGCAACATCCGCGGACTTGAAAAAAACATCAATGACGTGCACCATCATCTACGAACGAAAAAACCAGATATTCTGGCACTAACAGAAACTCAAGTGAACTCGTCCATCAACAAGGTCTACATGCTCTGTCCTGGTTACGAACTCCATCCTCAATTCAGATTCAAAAATGAAGTCTGCCTTCACGCTGAGGCAAATCTCTCATGCCAGCGTGTGGAGAGTTTGGTTCAAGCTATTCAATACCAAACTGACCAAATTCATCTGCTGCCTCTACCCATTGCCTAATGACAATGAATATAACAACCTCTTTGAGTTTTCATCACTCGAACTGTACCTCATTCAAAAGAACCATTCAACAGCTGGAATTATAATCATGGGAGACCTCAATGTACACTTCGCAGCCTGGCTCAAATTCTTTAACGAAACAGATGATGCAGGTCATCAAACTGAGGCCATGGCCATCACTCATGATCTAGAATAACTATGGTCGAACTACCCCCGCATTCCAGATGTCAACAATCAGTCCGTCAATACACTAGATTTTTCTTCACCAGCAATCCTGATTTATATAGAATAGAAGTTTGTTTCCCACTTGAGAACTCTGACCACACCCTCATCTACACAACCTGCTCTTTCCATGTACCATCCAGCACCACAATACCTACCCGTCTACTGTGGCATCACAATTCGGCCGACTAGGAAGGTCTTCGTATGTTTTTTATAGCGTTTCCATGGAAGAGAGTTTTTTTCTCCTCAGCAGATCCAACACGACGTGCTGAGACAATTCCTTAAATCATGTTGGAGATGCAAACGTACATACCGAACATAACGAGGAGAACATCATCCGATATGGCCTGGTTCAGTAAAAACTGCTCTAGAGCTGTCGTTTCCAAACAGGTAGCATTTCATCGATGACAAAAAAATCCAGGCCCTGAGAGTAGAGCAGAATATGTCAAGGCTAGAGGCATGTGCAATGAGACAATTCGATTATCAACGGATGCTCATAATTCCAGGAAAAGATCGAAACTTGTTGAATGTCCTAACGGATCCCGTTCATTCTGGTCCTTCGCCAGAGCTGTATTGAGAAACTTCACTTTCAGCTCGTTTTCTCCTCTAACCAAGGAAGATGAAACACTAGCCACAACTGCCCAGAAAAAAGCTGACAATTTTGCGCATCCATTTGGTTGAAATTCCACTCTGAATTCATCAGGAAAACAGCCTCTTCGCCAATTGGAAGTCTTATGCCTGGGATCTACTTTCGTCAACGTACTATAAGGAAGGTTTTCTAGGGTATCAACACCAACAGACTTGTAGCTCCGACGAAATCTCACCTGTTGTTTTCAAAAAAAGTGCTCCCGAACTAACACCTGTTCTCTGTAATCTGTTCAACTACTCTTACGAATTGGAGATATTCCCGTTCAACTGGAAGATTACGAGAGAACAACCAATTTCTAAAAATCGCAAAAATAACCCACCTAGCGAGTACAGACCGATCGCATGCTATCTATTATCTCAAAGATCATGGAGAAAGCTATCAACATCGAGCTCATGAAATATCTGGAATAACCAGACCTGCTTGCTCACGTCTCACATATAAAGCAGCAATCCATTGAAAAGTATGGTGAAACCTTAGCCGTGGCACTTGATATCTCTGAGGCATTCGACCGAGTCTGGCACCACGGACTCCTCGCCAAGCTTTCATCCTATGGCTTGCCTCCTCAGCTATGTTCTCTGCTAGCTAGTTTTTTTCCAAACGGGTCTCTTCATGAAGAGGTCGACGGAGTTTCATCTGACTCTTTCATCATAAATGCTAGTGTTCCGCAATGATCAATTTCAGCAGCAGCACTATTTCAACTCCATATCAACGATTCGTTGAGAGCAACTTCATGTCCAGTAAACAGCTTCGCGGATGATACTACATTCCATGCCGCCTTCTTCTCAAGGGCTCCAATATCAGCCAGGAACAACAGAAACGAACGAGGAAGAAATGTTTACAACATGAATATGGACTTGGCAACAATTATCGGATGGGAATCCAAAAACTAGATTTCCATGCAAACAACACACAAACATGCCTTTTCTCTAGAGAAGCCGATCTCACTGTGCCCAACATGAGCGTGTCAGGAGTAACCATACCTTTGAAGACATTCATTTCAATGCTTGGTATAACTATCAGCAATAACTTTTCTTTGGAAAATCACGTGATATCAATTGCTTGAATTATATCTCACGAACTTGGTTTTCTGTTTCGGGCCAGGAGCTATTTCACTTCCAGTCAGCTGCTCATGTTCTATAAGGCACAGATCTGACTTGTCCTGGAATACTGTCTTTATTTTCGGAGTGCAGCACCCAAACATACCCTCAAACCGTTCAATTTTACCCAAAAAGAGGCAATTCATCTTGTATGTAATGCCTTGCTCACTAATTCACTCACTTTTCTGGAGCACCGTTGAAATGTCCGCAATCTGGCCTTATTATATAGATATTCTCATAGACGATACTTTACTGAAATATCAACAATTGTCTTTTTCTTGGCAGTCCCCGCGGAATGAACCCATCGAGTTGAGGTTTCGCAGCCCTTTGGGGTCACTTTGGAGACCTGCACAACATCTCTTTCCAAAGACTCGTTCATCCAACGAACAGCGAGGCTCTGTAACACATTGTCAAGGGAGGTGTTCTTCGAGTCATATAACCTCCAGGAATTCGAGAAGATCATCAATTCCTACCTTATGTTTCTTGGTGACCACGAAGGGGTGCGGAGCCTCAATTCGACGGGTTTGAACCACAACGCTTTCACCACATGGCGTGATGGAGTTAGGGCTGTCAGGGTGGAAAAGTATATTTTTTCTGTGAATTGATCAAGCTATCATCATAAGCTTTTTATAGAAATCCGAATTGATACAAACATCAAGAACCAACCTTATACGATTTATTCGATATCTCACCAAGAACTCACTCAAACGAAATCGTCAAATTGCCTGTATAGGTTGATCAAAAATGTTTAACATTATGTTCTGCAATTTCGGTTTTTTCATCCCATTCTCCATATACACGGTGCAAAATGATTACGTTAAATCATTCGAGTGATCTTTTCCCGAGACCATCTTGGGAAAAAAGATCTATATGGAATTGTGTCCGGGAATGCTCCATTTTGGAGTTACAGGGTGTTGAAATACAGAGGACAAATCATTTTTTGATGATTATTCGATAGGAGATATGTAGTTCATTGTGACGAGACCCAACATATACTTAGTTTTGTAGAGTTCTCAGTTACTTCACCTAGCATCCAAGGAGCTAAGTAACATGCATAAATATAGATAATTGTAAAT